ACTGATGAAGATCAAAGAGCACAGCCTTCAGTATGGATTACATCTCAATGTAAAGAAAACAAAAATCCTTACCAATGGACCAATAAACAGCAATCTTATCAATGGAGAAAAGATGGAAGTTGTCAAGGACTTCATTCTTCTTGGATCAACTATCAACACTCACGGAAGCTGGCTGGCTGGCTGTATGCCGTGGAAGTCGGTTCTAACTTATAGTGACCCTGTACAGGGTTTCCCAGGCTGTAAATCTTTACGGAGCAGAACGCCTCATCTTTCTCCCATGGTACATCTGGCAGTTTCGAACTGCTGACATTGTGGATCGCAGCCCAATTTGTAACCACTATGCTACCAGAGCTCCTTAGGTGAAGCAGCAGTTGAGAAATCAAACGACGTATTGCATTGGGCAAATCTGCTGCACCAAACCTTTTCAAAGTGTTGAAGAGCAAAGATGTCAGCTTGAAGACTAAGGTGTACCTGACCCAAGCTATGGTATTTTCAATCACCTCATATGCACGTGAAAGCTGGACAGTGAATAAGGAAGACTGTAGAAGAATTGTGTTGTTGGAGGAGAATATTGAAAGTGCCATGGGCTTCCAAAAGAACCAACAGATCTGTTTTGCAAGAAGTGCAGCCAGAGTGCTCCTTGGAGGCCAGGATGGCCAGAATTTGTGTCTCATACTTCAGACATATTGCCAGGAGGGATCAATCCCTGGAGGATATCATGTTTGGTAAAGAGGAAGACCCCCAGCGAGGTAGATTGGCAAACTGGCTGCATCAGTGGGCTCAAGCATGGCAACAGTAGTGAGGTTGGCCCAGGATTGGGCAGTGTTTCGTTCTGCTGTACATAAGGTCACTATGAGTCGGTACCAACTCGATGATGGCAACTAACAACAACAGTGACTCTGTGTATTTCTTCCATCTTGTGTTTATGTTTTCTGCATCCTGCTATAATTTGCCCAGAGAACCCTTCAATAACAAAAGTCGAGGCTTGAATTTTTTTCTTCAGTTTCCCCAGCTTGAGAAATGCTGAGCATGTCCTTTCCTTTTGGTTTTTTGTCTCCAGATCTTTGCACATTTTGTTGTAATTTTTGGCTTTGACTTCTCAAGCTGACCTTTGAAATTTTCTGTTCAGCTCTTGTACCTCCTCATTTCTTCCATTTGGTTTAGCATCTCTGCACTGGAGAGCAAGTTTCAGTGTCTCTTCTGACATCCATTTTGGTCTTTTCCTTCTTTCTTCTTAATGACTTTTTGCTTTCTTCACGTATGATGTTCTTGATGTCATCCCACAACTCTTCTGGTCTTCAGTCTTTACTGTTTAATGTATCAAATCTGTTCTTCACACTATATATCTAAGGTCATATTTAGGCTCTTGTGGACTTGTTTTCATTTTCTTCAGCTTCAGTCTGAATTTGCATATGCGCAATTGATGGTCTGTTCCACAATCTGCCCTGGCCTTGTTTTGGCTGATGATATGGAGCTTTGCCACCATCGCTTTCCACAGATGTCATCAGTTTGATTTCTGTGTATTCCATCTGGTGAGGTCCATGTGTATAGTCGTCTCTTATGCTGTCTAAAGAAGGCATTTGAAATGAACAAAGCATTGGCTTTGCAGAATTCTATCATGCGATCTCCAGCATCATTTTTGTCACCAAGACCGTATTTTCCAACTACTGATCATTCCTCTTTGTTTCCAACCTTTGCATTCCAATCACTGTTAATGATCAGTACATCTTGGATGCATGTTTGATCAATTTCAGATTGAAGAAGTTGGTAGAATTCTTCTATTTCATCCTCACTGGCTTTAGTGGTTGGTGCATAAATTTGGAATAATAGTGGTATTAAATGATCTTCCCTGTAGGCGCATGGATATTATCCTATCACAGACGGCGTTGTACCTCACAACTGATCTTGATATGTTTCTTTTGATGATGACTGCAACACCATTCCTCTTCAATTTGTCATTCCCGACGTAGTAAACCATGTGGTTGTCAGATTCAAAATGACCAATACCAGTCCATTTTAGCTCACTAATGCCTAAGATATCAATGTTTATGCGTTCCATTTCATTTTTAACATTTTCCAATTTTCCTAGATTTATATTTCGTACATTCTGTGTTCCATTTGTTAATGGATGTGTACAGCTGTTTCTCTTCATGTTGAGTTGTGCCCCATCAGCAAATGAAGGGTCCCGAGGGCTTTACTCCATTCGCGCCATCACGGTCAACTCTACTTTGAGGAGGCAGCTCCTCCCCAGTTGCATTTTGAGTGCCTTCCAAGCTGAGGGGCTCATTTTCCAGCACTATATCTGACAGTGTTTCTCTGTTGTTCATAGGGTTTTTAATGACTAAATATATGGAAGTAGTTCGTCACTCCTTCTTCCTAGTCTGTCTAGAAGCTCATCTGAAACCTGTCCACCATTGGTGACTCTGCTGGTATTTATAATACCAGTGGCATAGCTTTCAGAATCACAGCAACTCACAAGCCACCATACTATGACACAATTGCAGCAACTCCCAAGCCACCGCAGTACAACAGACAGACAGACAAGTGGTGGTTACTTAAAATATTGACTTCAAAAATTGCTGGAGTGTGCCATAAAGAGTACTAGAAAGAGATAATCATTGTGGTCTCATTCTACCCACAACAAATACTGTGTTTTTCCCGTATCACCCGCATTGCACACATAGGAAACTGACATGAGCAGAGTTGCCCCCTACAATATGTGTGTTATTTGCATAAAAAGTGGTGGTGACAGTGTTAGGTGCTTTCTGTTGGTTCCAACTCCTAGTGATCCTGTGCACAGTAACATAACACTGCCCAGCCCTGCTCTATCCTCACAGTTGTGATGTTTGAGTCCATTTTTGCTGACACTGTGTCGATCCATGTCCTTGGGAGTCTTCCTCTTTTACACTAACCTTCCTATTTACTAAGTATGATGTTCTGCTCTAGGAATTGCTCCTTCCTGACAATATGTGCGAAGAACAAGAGATGGAGTCTTGCCCTCCTCACTTCTAAGGAGCATTCTCTATCTACTTCTTCCAACACAGATTTGTTTGTTCTTCTGGTAATTTCAGTATTCTTCGCCAACACCATAATTCAAATGCAATGATTCTTCCAAACTTATTTTTGAGAATTTCTTAAATTACTACTCAGGTTTAGAGATTGAAACCAACTGCTAGAACAAATCTCATCTCGCCCCTGCTCACAAGCCTTCAGGGGCGCATGCTCAGTTGGTGGAGGCCTCGCTCCGTAAATTGCTACTCTCTCTCTGTTAGTCTCTTTTTAGGGGGTGGGAGCAGGGAATATATTTGTTAAACTTATGTATACTTCTACTCTACTGATTTTTCTACTAATACCAGGTGGTGTAGTGGGTTATGCATTGTTTTGCTAACCACAAGGTCATCAGTTCAGGTCCACTAAACACTCTTAGGGAGAAAGATGAGGTTTTCTGCTCCCATAAAGATTTACAGTCTTGGAAACCCTATATAGTGTTACTTTGAGTTGAAACCGACTTGATAGCACACAGTCAGCCAGTATAATCAAATAAGTTAACTCTTAGATGCTAAAATGCTAAGAGAGATATAATTTACATTTTATCCAAATATATTTCTCCAACGAGTTACAATGCATTTTCCCTCTGCCTCATTTTGAGCAGAAGATGAATGTGTTTACCCTTGTCTGTAATGTAAGTGGCTTTGTCTAGTTTCTTTTCAGAGCTAGAGTAAAAAGAATCACATGGCTTATTTTCATGGCGCTCTCTGCGTGTGTGCTCTCCTCAGCTGATCAGAGGCTCCCGGGAGAGAGGGGCCTACTTGGACCAGGGCTTTCCGTTCTGTTCCCCTGCTTGCTTTAGGGTGAAGACAAAGGCCAGGCGAAGGCACAGGACAGAATATAGCCTGTGTCTGTTTGTCCACAGTGGCTGTGGCTCACTCTGAAGAGGGAAAAATGTACCCCTGGTGGGTGCACCAGCCCCTCGATTCCATTTTGACAGCTCTGAGGAGTGCGCTTTCCTAATGCTGGGGATTAGAGTATAAATTGATATGACTGTAGGGAAACAGTTTAGCCTCACCTAGTAAAATGATGCTGTAGGATCAGCATTGGATTGTTTACCACAAGGTTGGTGGTTCAAACCCACCAGCCACTCCTTGGAAACCTGATACAAGGTTGCTATGAGTTAGAATTACCCCAACGGCACTTAACAAATACAGTTGAATGATATATATGAAGGTGTTACGGGTTCGAATCCCAAAGAAGGATGATGACCATTATAATGTCCAATTTAGAGAATTTTATTGGCACAACTATAGCTGGACGGCAGGGAGACAATAGATTCTCCTAAGTCTGCCGTGCCATAGGGAAATGGCTGCTAGTTTATATATGCTACATTCTTGGCTCAGGATCTAGGGACTTATCTAAAGGAATTTGCTGAAGCAGGGAATACAGAAGCCAAAACAGTGAATTAGTTTGCTTACAAGAAAACTAGGTAACAATAACAGGGTCAGTGTGACCACACGAGTTCCAATAACAAGACCATAAATCAGTTACAATGGTGCAAGGGTCCTTGAGGCACATAGTTACATTTACTACTCTAAAGAATGTCCTGGGTTCATAATCACACAGTAAACGCCACCTGTGAGGCTTGGTTCTGCCCTATCTGCCTCAAGGCCAGAGAAATTATGCTGGTTTTACAGATTCTGAGTTTTCACAAGGAGCTCTTTT